GAGTGAGGTGCGCCGAGTCCTTAATGGGGCTTCTAAGTTTCACGGCACATCCTTAAATAAGTCCTTATTGGTGGGTCCGGACTTCAAAATTTAGTTTTTGTACTTTTGCGATTCCGTCAACACAAGTACGCCGTCTCCGCGGATATAGAGAGTATGTTCCTCCAGGTAGGAGTCCTCGCCCGCGATCAAATTTCGCTTCGTTTTTTGTGGCGGGAGGATACTACTTCCGAAGTGGCAGTTCATCAGTGCACTCGCCATATATTCGGAGCACGGGATTCGCATACATGTGCCAATTTCGCGTTGCGAAAAGCAGCAACTCATAATATGTTTACATACCCTGATGTCGCCTCAGTCGTAAATGAAAATTTGGGACGATTACTTGGATTCGTTTGAGAACGTTACCCATGCATTTAAAATTAGCCGCGATTTGGTTTCGTTACTAAAATTGGGAGGAATTAATTTGACTAAATTTGTCAGTAATGCTGATGAAATCACTTCAGCAATGAACCCCCAGGAATGCAAAACCTCGTCTTCACTCGGGAGATTTTTTCGGAAGCCCTCAAGGATAGCATTTGGGTTATTGATCCGAGCATTCTCAGGACTACTGATTAGCCGTTTATACCCGTCGAACGTGTAATCAATAAAATTCGTTTGAAGGGACCTTTTTGTGATGTTGATAATTGCTTCGAGACATCATCTTCCTTCGTCACCGATGTCACAGCCATCAAACATCCCAAAAACGGGTTCAATTGGGAAAGGTTCAGTTCCTTTACGAGAAGTAAGCGAGTAGCCGCTTTTATGTTGAGGATGCTGCCTTCACATAAGCATTTTTGCGGTAAGGAACTGATAATATGTTGACAGCAACTGATAATATGTTAACATACCCTGAGGCCGCCTCAGTCGTAAATGAAAGTTTGGGACGATTACTTGGATTCGTTCGAGAACGTTACCCATGCATTCAAAATTAGCCGCGATTTGGTTTCCTTGCTAAAATTGGGAGGATTTAATTTGACTAAATGTGTCAGTAATGCTGATGAAATCACCTCAGCAATGAACCCCCAGGAATGCAAAACCTCGTCTTCACTCATCAAGGAAGTTTGTAATGGTGCCGAACAACCACCACACATCCTAGACCTCATGTGGGACCATGTGAAAGACACATTGGTTGTTAGCAGAGGCGTGGATCGTCCTCTCGATAAGGCATGAGCTCAACGAACCGTCTTGATTTTTGTCTCTTCTGTGTTTGACCCTGTTGGATTAGTAGCTCCATACCGTTAAGGCCCGTCTTTTGTTTAAAGATATTTGGAACATCAGTGGCCAAAGTTGGGCTGACGAATTGCCGGAAGACATAAGAGATAAGTTTCTCGAGTGGCACTCGGGTCTCCCTCTCTTAGGGCAATTGACTACTCCCCGTTGTTACCTCACAGAGCCTGTGGATCAAATCGAGCTCCACATGTTTGGTGGTAGCTCGCAGGACGTTTTCTGTGGGGTTGCATTTTTGCGTGCGCGACTCTCGAGTTCGGAAAGTACTCAAATATTCTTCAACTTTGGTAAAGCTGGCGTTGCGCCCATGAAAGCGCTATCTATACCGAAGCTAGAGCTTCAAGCTGCTCTGCTCGCCACACGACTGAAAAATGATACACTGACCGCTCTCACTGTGTGCATTAATCATGTCTACTTGTGGACAGATAGTACTACAGTTTTGCAGTGGCTAAACTCTACTGAAAAATTACCTGTATTTGTCGATAACCGTGTCTGCGAAATCCTCGAATCAACCACTATTGATGAGTGGCACCATGTTCTGAGCGGCAATAATCCAGCTGATTCCGGTACGCGGGAGATTTTTTCGGAAGCCCTCAAGGATAGCAGCTGGGTTACTGATCCGAGCATTCTCAGGACTACTGATTAGCCGTTTATACCCGGTGAACGTGTAATCAATAAAATTCGTTTGAAGGGTCCTTCTTGTGATGTTGTTAATTGCTTGGAGACATCATCTTCCTTCGTCACCGATGTCACATCCATCAAACATCCCGAAAACGGGTTCAATTGGGAAAGCTTCAGTTCCTTTACGAGAAGTAAGCGAGTAGCCGCTTTTATGTTGAGGATGCTGCCTTCACATAAGCATTTTCGCGGTAAGGACTTACGATTCATCGACCCCACTGAACTTGATACTGCAGAAAACAAACTGATTCATCTTGCTCGGATGGAATCTTTCCCCGTTGAGTTAAAAACACTCACAGCTGGCAAACCTATTAAGAATAGTAGTAAAATGACCACATACTTGACATATATCGGTCCCGCTGGTATCATCCTTTCCACCGTCGGATAGTGCGCTTAGTGAATACCGAGTTTGATACTAAGCACCCAATATTACTCGACGCCCGACAAACCCTAGTTCGTTTGTTGGCCCGCAGCCTCCACCACAAGCATTTTCATCAAGTTTAGATTACATGCGCTCCGTTTTAAATATGAAATATGCAATACTTGGGTTGCGTCGACTACTTCGGTCTATCGAAAGTCAATGTGTAACCGTAAACGCAAAGCAAGTACCATCCAGCTAATTATGTCCGATTTACCTGTCGAACGTCTCGGATATAAAAAACCACCATTTAATCATACGGGTGTTGATTACTTTGGACCACTCTACGTTCCGGTTCACAGAAGCACTGAAAAAATATGGGGATTTCTTCTCACTCGTCTCACCGCCAGGGCTGAACACCTTGAGATTGTACCATCTCTGGACACTAGTTCTTGTGTCATGGGCATTGAACGGTTCATTGCGCGTCGTGGTACACCAAGCACGATCTGGTCGGATAACGGCACGAACTTCGTTGGTGCGGAAAAGGAACTACTTGTCTGCATCAAGAGCTGGAATGGCATGGCTCCGACAATTTTTGCACACAAAGGTGTTGCTTTGAAACTTAAACCGCTAGGCGCACCCCATCATGGCGGCCGAATTCCGAAGTGCGTGCTTTACGATATACGAGGCAGTAGGCGAGTCACGGAAGAGGTGTTAGGAACAACACTCTGCTTAGTTGAGCAAGCTTTGAATTCGAGGCAAATCTTTCCCGTTAGTAACGATTCACGTGAGTTAGAAGCATTAACCCCAATCCAATTTTTGCTTGGACAACATGCCACAAGCTTTCCTTCGGTTTTACCTGGGGAGCACTTCGACCACAAGAAAAGGTACGTGCGAGCGCAGTCGTATGCTAACGCTACTTGGTCTCGTTGGCTTCGCTGATATGTTCCCTCACTGAACAAGCATGTCAAATGGCACACTCAATCTGACTCCACTCTAGAGACAGGCGATCTCGTGTGGGTAATTGAGCCCGATAGTCCACGTGGGTACTACCCACTTGCCCGAATTGTCAAGTTATACTACGGAAAGGACGGTTGCACCCGATCCGCCCTGGTTAAGACCGCAACCCGTGAAGCCACTCGGCCGACAGTTAAGCTCGCTCCGGTTCTTCCTTCCTGTGAGGGAGGATGTTGCAACGCAAATATAAAACAGATTATAGATGCATAAAAAAAACAAGCACAGTTGGCCGAGCGGCCTAAGCTAACGTAACGACTATACAAACTTGCGAATTGACTTAGGTTCGAGTCTCCCACCTTCCCATGTATTAAAATACTAAAAATGGGGGTTTGCATCCTATTTTAACTGTTTTTTGGTTCTAATTCGGTTCAGCCTTGATTAAAGCTGACCGCCAAAAATTAGCAATTTGTCTGAAGGATATTATTACCGGTTCCTGTGGCTAGCTTACGCCAATTTGTACCGTTTTTGGGGCAGTTTTGAAGTTATAAGATGTTATGTTTAACCAAAATTATGATGAATTATTGAGTTTCCGAGAGTTTTTGCCAATAAATGCTCTTAATAATTCAAGCATTCGACTTCATAGTTTTTATCAACTTACGGAGATTGAGTGCACGATCTCTGATTTTAAGCATAAGGTTGTCTAAAGACTGTTTAAGCTCAATTAAATTTTCTTTATTGATATTCTTATTGAGATGAATTAGAGAATTATGTAGTGCCCATCTTCGTACAGTTATTAATTTTTTGTTATTTTGTGTTGATTTGTTTTTGTTGTTACTGATTTTATCCTTCCTGTGGTATCGAGTGATTTGTCTAATTTTTGTTTTAAATACATGAAGATGACGAAGTGAACAACTTTATTTCGTCGTATTACTTGCAAATTTTTCAAAGCGGTTTTTTTGGCAACTCCGTATCTTAATTCTCCATATTGGTATTTGGTTGTATAAACTACTTGTAAGTTCTTATGAGAAAAATTGAGCTGATAAACTGTCTTGTTTGATAGAAAATGAAAATGAATCGACCTCATTTTTTTCACTGATTCAATATGTTGGTTCAAGGTAACATTTTGATCCAAAATTAACCCCAGATATTTAACTGCACTTTTTACTTCTACCGTGTTTTGGTTCCAGGTAAAACTTTCAACCTTTTTTACTCAGTTGGTAATCTTAATCTATATCTATGTTTCTCCTATGTTTGTTGTAAATTTATTAGTTTCCATCTATTCTGATTTTAGTTCCGAATCTTTTTTAAGTTCTTTATTTTCCTTGAGTGTTCCAAAAATATTAGTGAAATCGGCATAAAGAATACATTCTCTGTGATGTGGTAAGTTGGGAAAATCACTGATATAAATAAGAAAAAACTCTTAATTAAGAAAAAAAATTGAATTTGTTGGAAACCACCGCGTCGCAAGTTAATCTTGCGAGGGCGAGTGTTTGGTCGATTGTATTCTTTGAAGGAACTTTGACAGGAATTCGAATAAATTTGTCATTCTGGCTGAAAATTGTAGACGAAAAATTTCAATTGTTAGTATAGTTCGTGCAGATATTTCAGACGTTTTTTTCTCTTCTGTTTATTCAACAGTTTCAACTGGAGTTTTCACCGGCGCTGCAAAAACCTCCAATACTAAATTATAGTTAGAAATTAGGATCGGTTTTTAGCAATAGAATATATAGCTGAAATAAGTAGGCTCTTCTCCAGAGTACTGTTCGGGAAATTTGCACACTGACATTGCAGACATCATCCTCGCCAATCATCAATGTTGGAGTGGTCATATCAGTGACAGGAAAAAACTTTCAGTACTGAAGCAGTAATTTATGATTTATCTCAGAGCAGGGCTGATTTTTTTCTGTAACAGTGCTGAAGAAAATGATTTTATAATTTATCTCTGTCTGATTGCAACCCGAGATTATGTTTTCAGTTAGAACCAAAATTGCTCTCAGGGCTTGAAGGAAAAGAAGTAATTGCGTTAAAATAAGTCAGTTTGAAGTTTGACAAGTTTACTTGGTTTGAATTAATAAAGATTATATTCCCGTGTTGACCAAAAATGCTAATCATACACTTTTCATTCAATTGCATAAGTACAGAAAACTTTTAGAAAGGCCTTTGATAAGTATTTCTTAATATATGGAAATTGTATGACTAGCAGTTTTCCATAAACTAAAAATATTAATTTTTAACATTTTAATTTCTCATAATTTTTTGGCTGTGTTCGTAACCGAACACAAATGACATAAACCTTGGTTACTCAATCGTAGTAACCAAAGGTTTGGCCGTCTCGAAATAATAATGCATTAGAAACAGCCTGAAATGTTTTAATTCTGTCTCACATAAATAATATAAAGGAAAAGAACGAACTTTTAAATATTGGCAAAAATTTTCAAAGATGATTGTTTCTAAAATTTGAATTTTTAAATTACCAGACATTGATCAAGGCATACAAAAACATGTCATACAAAAGAAAGAGGAGTTTCAAGCGTTTTCGAAAAAAGTTATGAAGAGTAAAAGAAAAAAATCCATCATTAGTATATCCAGGACTACGTTATACACACAAATACATGCATGCAAATTTTTTCTTCTTCAAAAAATGTTTGTTCGAGTACGAAAATCAACTTGCGGTTGACAAAAAACACAAAAAAAATACTGAAAAAACTTTGTTGTTGCCATCAAAAAAGTACTAGTCATACAATTTCCATATATGACTAGGAGAGAAGAACAGTATTTGGAAATTGTATGATTAGCAATTTTTGACAAAAATTTTTCTTTTTCTTAGTACGATACACCGAATTTTTCATTAGCAAAAAGTTGAAATTTGTATGACTGCATTGTTTTCATAGCCTTAGTTTACGGAATTGTATGATTAGCATTTTTGACCTATGGAGGTCAACCCGGGTTTACAAAGCTCCAAAGCAATTGCATATGAACAGAAAAAATGAACATTAAAAATGGTGATAATACTATTATTAAAATAATGATGGCTAATGCTGGAGAAAATCAATTATCTCACTGCAATAATGAAATCATATGTCATTTCAGTTTGATCAATTTGAAGTAATTTGGACAAGAGAGGAAATAGAAATGAATTTGATTCATCGGCTGTGAAGTTGGCATAATTGGTGAACAAGGCAAGGCGGTGTGTGGGAAAACAGGGAAACAACAGATCAAAAGTGTTGTTGTTCCGACTTTCGATACGAAAGTAACTGAATATTTGTGCTCGGGGTGGTTTTTTTTTTCTTCAGACATTTTTTGACTTTTTAACTAGCCATTTTTGACGGAATTTTTTATATCATTCGAAAGCTATTGCTGTCCTGAGCTTAAATTTGAAAAGATATTTCACCTGTGATCATTTTTCGTAAAGTTATGGGGGTTTACAGATTGCCATTTTGGCCAATTTGGGACAATTAACGCGCGATATATTTAACGCTATTAACGTGTTAGCGGAGATTTAATCGGTCTTAGAAATCGTTCTAAATTGGTTGAAAGAAGCTTATTTGCCATAATTGATTTGTTAATAGGCGCAAAATCTATCACTATGTACTTAATATGACGTGTGGGGGGATGTTTTTACATAAAATCTCAAATTTTTTCAAAACAAATTTTTAAATTTTTTTTATTACTTTGAAATTTTTCATCCTATTAATGCTCCATAGACCTTAAAAGGCAGTCGGAATTTTCAGGGCTTCGCCCTGACACGAGCAGTCTTGTTGTTCTGATTTTCGATACGAAAGTAACGGAATATTTGTGCTCGGGGTGGGTCTTTTTTTTCTTCAGACAAATTTCGACTTTTTAACTAGCCATTTTTGACGGAATTTTTTTATATCATTCGAAAGCTATTGTTATCCTGAGCTCAAATTTGAAAAGATATTTCACCTGTGATCGTTTTTCGTAAAGTTATGGGGGTTTACAGATTGCCATTTTGGCCAATTTGGGACAATTAACGCGCGATATATTTAACGCTATTAACGTGTTAGCGGAGATTTAATCGGTCTTAGAAATCGTTCTAAATTGGTTGAAAGAAGCTTATTTGCCATAATTGATTTGTTAATAGGCGCAAAATCTATCACTATGTACTTAATATGACGTGTGGGGGGATGTTTTTACATAAAATCTCAAATTTTTTCAAAACAAATTTTTAAATTTTTTTTATTACTTTGAAATTTTTCATCCTATTAATGCTCCATAGACCTTAAAAGGCAGTCGGAATTTTCAGGGCTTCGCCCTGACACGAGCAGTCTTGTTGTTCTGATTTTCGATACGAAAGTAACGGAATATTTGTGCTCGGGGTGGGTCTTTTTTTTCTTCAGACAAATTTCGACTTTTTAACTAGCCATTTTTGACGGAATTTTTTTATATCATTCGAAAGCTATTGTTATCCTGAGCTCAAATTTGAAAAGATATTTCACCTGTGATCGTTTTTCGTAAAGTTATGGGGGTTTAAAGATTGCCATTTTGGCCAATTTGGGACAATTAACGCGCGATATATTTCGCGCTATTAACGCGTAAGCGGAGAAGTAATCCGTCTTAAAATCGTTCCAAATTGGTTAAAAGAAGCTTATTTGCCATAATTGATTCGTTACAAGGAGCTAAATCTATCTTTTTGTACTTTAAATGGCGTGTGGGGGGATGATTTTCATAAAAAATTTCAAATTAAAAAAAAATTTAAAAATTTTATTACACTTAATTTTTTAATGTTATTACTGCTCCATAAAACCTTAAAAGGCAGTCGGAACATTCAGGGCTTCGCCCTGATACGAGCAGTCTTGTTATATATTGTGTAAGAGTTCATGTGATGGCGATATGGAAATGAGAGATAAGGATGATGTGTTGAGAATATAGCATAGCACATGAGTGGAGAGAGAGAGAGAGAGAGATGGGTGGAAGGATTGAAGAAGGATGGTAGAGCGGATGAGTGTGTATTAGAGTATCCAATGGAGTGAGGTTGAAGTAGTCCACTGTTGCTACATGTTTAGTCTCCTAGGTAGATGTCAATACCGTAGGTGGAGCCATGTGTATGAACATAGCGACTCGGAATAGAATAATCATACCCACATCCACCTCCTGTCCCCACTCTAACATACATCCACTTGAGTCCACTTCTGCCCAGACGGGTGATGACCTCATCCCTCATCTTCTGTGGTGTCATACCCCTTCTACTCTCCATATCAGACAACACACTCTTCATCACACTCTCTGCCTTCTCCCTCTCCTCATCAGTTGCTGCTATGTGACTGTTGTAGTCTGAGTGTGGGACAGTGTAGATGTGCATGTTGTAGGGGTACTCTGTCTTGTTCTTCCACTCTGCTGTCTCACCCACTCCATCATTACACTTGAAACTACTGTCACTGTCTTTAGCATTGGCATAGATGAACCAACTGCTCTCAGGGTATGCATTCATAAAGGCAGTTGTGATCTCCCCTTCTGATCCTCTCAACCTTGTGTCCGCAGTCTTCTTCCACTGAGCTGAAACAACACGCCACCTTTCTACATAAACTTCCAAGCCACGTTCATTTCTTATACTCATTTTGAAAATCTACATTCTTTTTTTTTAAATAATTTCGGCATCTTAATGGATTAGCTTGTATATATTTTTATTCTTTTAGATATTTCTCTCAATTAATTAGTCTGTTTGTTTTTTCTTGATTTAAAAATTGTTCTCTTTCAAGCGCTTCTTTTTTGTTCAAACAATGTTTCATCCTATAACCTCATTCTCATGACAATAATTGAAAAAAAAAAATTGAAAACTGGAATTGATATTATCACAAATAATATTATCAACATCGATCTGTGTCGATGACAGAGGCGACTTGATGGCTTTCATACCACATTTAGATGAGCTGAAGTTGTCTGTAATCTAATTGAAAAGACGAACTGCATGACGATTGAATTAAACTAATGACACATCTGTTTACCTTGGTTGGCCAGTTCCTCTTTCTGTCTCTGCTCTGCCAGTGCTTTGGCAGCTGCCACACTCTGCTGTTGTCTCAACTTCTCCTCCGCCTCGGCCACTCTCGCCCCCAACTTCTTTCTCTCCTCCGCCTTCTGTCTCTCAAACTTCTCCTCCACTTCCCGCACCTGCTTCTTAATCTGCTCCTGCTTTGCATTCAGCTCCGCCTCTTGCTCCGCCCTCTCTCGTCTGAACTGCTCTTCCATCTTTTGCTGCTGCAACTTCAGCTGCTCAATTTGATCCGCCAACTTGGAGTTGCTTTGTTCAGTTACCAACTTCGCCTCCAGCTCCTCTTGCTGTTTCTGATTTCTCTCCAGTTTGTCTTCAAGCGCCTGTTTGTACTTCTCGCTTTGATCATCGAACTGTTTTTGCAACCTGTCATGTTCTGCCTGTTTCTTCATCAGCTGATTGGTCATGTCTTGTTTCAGCTTCTCAACTTTCGCCTCTAACATTTCCCGAACCTTCTCTCTTTCCTCGGCCAGTTTCGCCAACTCCGCCACGTGTTTCTTCTCCATTCTCTCACGATCTTCTTCAGTTTTTCGCTTCAAAGTTTCCATCTGCTGCGAGAATTGTCTTTGCATCTCTCTCAACTCCTGTTGTCTGAAACAGTTTCCCTCGTGGATAATGAAAGTGCAAAAAGAGGCAGAGAATCTTATTTGTATCCTGTAAAATAAAAGGTAGAAAATCGAGACTACTTGTTTATATTTCAGTCAAAGCTCATTAAAACGGATTGTTTGTGCTTGGGTCAGTTTTTATCCAGACAAAATTTGTCCTTTACGAAGCTTTTGACCAAGTCTTCTTACACATTTTGGTAGAAGTTGATTTCCAGGGCATCACACTTCATCAATTTTTGCTAAGTTATGACGAGCTGTGTGCGCTTTATCTCCGTAAATCAAAAATATGAAGTCGAATGTTTGAATTTAATGAGAGAATTTATCGGCAAAAACTTCTCGTCCTTTCGGTCGGGTATAACATCATATTTTCAATAACATTCGTCATCAATTCACAGCTTCAATAACAAATTGGCGCAAGCTAGCCACAAGAACCGGTCGGTAATGAGACAAATTGCTCTTTTTTAGCGGTCAGCCTTAAACAAGGCTAAACCGAATTAGAATAAAAAAATAGTTAAAATACGATATAACCCTCTTTTTTAGTATATTAAAACATCAGCAGGTGGGGGGCTCGAACCTACGTCAACTGTTATGTCACACATATAATTCGCGTTACGTTAGCTTAGGCCGTTCGGCCATTAAAGCTTATGGTTGTTAATTTTTGGTTTAATTTTATGCATTTATACTCTCGCACACTTGCGCTGCAACATCCTCCACCCCTAAACAAGGAAGAACGGGAGCGAGCTTTACGGTCGGGCGGGTCAGTTCGCTCGTAACGGTCTTTATGTCGGCGGATCTCGCGCATCCGTCCTTGCCATAGTGCAGTCTTAGGATAAGTGCGAGCGGATAATTTCCACGTGGAGTGTCAGGCTCTAGGACACAAACCAAGTCGCCCGCTTTCAACTTAACGTCTGACTGGTTGTGCCACTGTGCCCTCCTATTGTGGGAAGGAACGTATTCCCGCATCCACCGTGTCCATATTGCGTTAGCGTATGATTGCGCTCTGGCGAAACGCTTCTTATGGTCGAAGTTTTCTTCGAAACTTAGCGACGGAAAACTCGCTGCGTGTTGACCAAGGATAAAATGATTCGGGTTCAACGTCTCTAGATCTAGCGGATCGGAACTAACGGCTGTTATCGTTCTAACGTTGAGTGATTGCTCAACAAGGCACAGCGTGGTTTTTAGAACCTCCTCAGTTACTCTTCTGTTGCCTAAGATGTCATACAAAACGCGCTTGACACTCCAAACTAATCGCTCCTAGGAGCCACCATGGTGCGGTGCGCTTGGTGGATTGAATTTCCACTTGATCCTTTCTGAACAAAAACAGCGGGTGCGAGCTTGTTCCAACTCTCAACGCAAGCTAAGAGCTCTTTCTGAGCGCCAACGAAGTTCGTGCCGTTGTCGGACTTGATGGTAGTCAGAGTACCGCGACGTGCAATAAACCTCTCCACGCCCATCACACAAGAGCTTGTGTCGAGTGAGGGGACCACTTCAATGTGCACCGCTCTAGTGGTAAGATAGGTGAACAAAAAACCCCACCTCTTTTCCGTACGTCTCCGGATTGGAACTAGGAACGGCCCATAGTAGTTGACACCTGTGTTAGAGAAAAGAGGTTGACTGTAACACAGTCTTTCAATGGGCAGATCAGCCATCATATGAGTTACGGTTTGCGCTTTGTGTTTTCGGCACACAACGCAAGTAATTTCAATGTTTCGCAGCAACCATCGCAAATTTAACAAAACAAACTTCAAATTAACCACCGCACGCATGTAATACAAGCCTTGATGTAAATTCCTAAGGTGCAAGTGTTTAACCAATAACCGAACAACCGCGTGACGTGCATCGAGTATAATCGGATGCTTGCTATCGAAATCGGAATTAACCAAGCGGCTGATGCACCCAGTCGAGCGAAGGATGCCAGCTGGTCCAATGAACAGCGAATACTTGGCGATCCGACTATTCTTCGTGATAACTTAACCGGATCTTAGTAGTTTTAGCTCACTAGGGAATGTTCTACCCTGGGAGAGGTAATTGAACTTCTGTTCAGCAATATCCATTTCACACGGGTCTGTAGTTTCTATTATACTCGACCGGAATAGTTTGTGGTATGGCAGCCATCTTAACAAAAACGCTACTGTGTGTTTGTACTTTACAATTGAATTGAATCTCTCCCACTTTTCGAATGGAAAACTTTTCTCTGTCAAAACATCGACGTCGAAATTTGACGAATCTTCCAGACAAATGTCGATATCACTTCAAAATCCTTTGAACCTTATTTTATCAATAACCCCGGTATCGGGCTTGTACGGCCAATTAGTCGTCCTCAGTATACTAGGGCCATTAACCCAGCTGCTCTGCTTGAGGGCTTCCGAAGAAATCCTTATTTCTTGACGGATCCTTATGTAGCCTCTCTTCCAAAGACTTTAATTGAGCTAAGGAGGAAAAATAATTTTCCGGTAAAGTACTTTCTTTATCGTTCCACAGCATTGGTACAATGTACGTCTAACCATCGTGAAAGGTGTCATTTTTCAAAAGAGACAAAGCGCGTTTGTCGGCATCGGAACGGGCATCTACCTGCTTGAGGGCTCCATTTGACTCCAACTCATACCAAGTTTTAATTTGGTCCGCTTTAGACATGTCTTCGACAACACACTTAAAGCAAGACAAGTTCGACTTAAAGGACGGCGGTAACGGACCATTTAAAACCCAACCTATCGGAAAGCGTACGGCGCACGGTGAAATAGAGTTCTCCCCCAGAAGGTACTCAACGGGTCTCATGGTATGGTATCATACTTATGGTATGATATCATACTTATAATGTGTCGGTTTGATTGGAGCCAACTGCGGGTATTTTTCCTGTAATTCAGGAAAACTTATGCTATCCGATCCAATGCGAGTATGATCCTTAACATAAGCTTGAAAAGAAAGCGAAAATTCAATATTATTCGTTTTGGCGGAAACTTGAAAACTTACTTGATGAGTTTTCATCAAGCCCTTGGAATTGAATTCATTTATGGTGAGGTTAACGGGAGTGCCAACCAAATGGAGGCGTTTTACGAGATCGGCTGATACCCATGAGTGCGTGGAAGCACTATCGCAAAGAGCTAGGGCAGTAGTAATAGTCGCATCCCAAGAGACGGCGAGTGATGCCACTGGCAGGAGGACTTTTGTTGACTCCTGGCTATGAATATCGCCGACGGCAGCGTTAGTCGATACATGATTAGTGTTTGCGTTACCTGACGCCGGGGAACTTTTAGTATCCTTAGGAGGAAAATTTTTCTCAGCTCCATGTAAGAGCAGGTTGTGCGTGCTTTCACAATCTGGCTTGTGGCACTTTCTGGCCTTGCTACAATTACAAAGTTTGTGATTGCTCTGTAAACACGCAAAGCAAAATTTTTGTTCAGCTACATGTTTCGCCCGTTGCGTAGCGTTTTTCTCTTTGAATACGGCACAATTCCAAAGAGCTTGTTGACCTATACATACAGAACATGGAGAGAACATTGGTTTTTCTTTAGTCTTATCACTTACTTTTGCATTACTAGCAAACGCTTTCGTACCTACTTTTTGTTTGACTGGTTCTTCAGATTTAACTTTAGAATTAATTGTTTTTAGCTTCTCATGACCCTCCGCTTGTTCTTTAAGCCATTCGTTGAAATCTATCAGAGTTGGTCGATGCCACTGGCGTCTTACGGTTTGCATTGACCAGGCTTCCTTAAGGTTTGGGGGAAGCTTACTCACAGCCTGATTCAATAAGTTTTTAATTTTCAGGTCAACGTTAAAAGATAAAGACTTGATATCGGCAACAAGTCCAGAAATTGTAGAGAAAGAGCCAATTAAATTTTCCGAATTATGCATTTTCAGCGGCGGAAAATTACTCAATTTATCTAGATGAGCCCCTAGTACAGCATGCGGCTGTCCGAACTTTCTTTGAATAGTTGCTAATGCGTCTTTATATAGTACTCCGCTATAACTATACTCAGCGATTGCGGTTTTTGCTTTACCCACTACGAGCGTTTTCAGATAGGTAAGCTTTTCATCGGAACTGAGTATGGCCATTAAAGCTTATGGTTGTTAAATTTTGGTTTAAATCTGTGCATTTATACTCTCGCACATTTGCGCTGCAACATCTTCCACCCCTAAACAAGGAAGAACGGGAGCGAGCTTTGCGGTCGGGCGGGTCAAATCGCTCGTAACGGTCTTTAAGTCGGCGGATCTCTTGCATCCGTCATTGCCGTAGTGCAGTCTTTGGATACGTGCGAGTGGATAAAATCCACGTGGAGATGACCCAAACCAAGTCGCCGGCTTTCAATTTAACGTCTGACTGTTTGTGCCATTTTGCCCTCCTTTTGAGGGAAGGAACGTATTCCCGCGAACGAACGTCCATTTTGCGTTAGCGTGTGATTGCACTCTGGCCAATCGATTCTTATGGTCGAAGTTTTTCTTCAAAACTTAGCGACGGAAAATTAGCTGCGTGTTGACCAAGGATAAAATGATCCGGGGTCAACGCCTCTAGATCTGGCGGATTAGAACTAACGGCTGTTATCGGACTAGCGTTAAGTGATTGCTCAACAAGGCACATCGTGATTCTTAGATTCTCCTCAGTTACTCTCCTGTTGCCTAGGATGTCATACAAAAAGCGCTTGACACTCCGAACTAATCGCTCCCAGGAGCCACCATGGTGCGGTGCGCTGGATGGATTGAATTCCCACTTGATCCCTTTCTGAACAAAAACAGCGGGTGCGAGCGTGTTCCAACTCTCAACGCAAGCTAAGAGCTCTTTCTGAGCGCCAACAAAGTTCGTGCCGTTGTCGGACATGTTGGTAGTCGGAGTACCGCGACAAAACCTCTCCACGCCCGTCACACAAGAGTTTGTGTCGAGCGAGGGGACCACTTCAATGTGCACCGCTCTAGTGGTAAGACAGGTGAACAAAAAACCCAACCTCTTTTCCGTCACTCTCCGGATTGGAACTATGAACGGCCTATAGT